TTTTGCAAAATTCTAAATTAAAATATTGTTGTAAGCGGGCGCTACTTGACAACTAACAAAACTAACAATTAAAACCAATCACAAGAACCTACACATGTATTTCTAATAACATGATATTCAAACCAAGTTATTATAATCCTTCAAAACCAAGTTCAAAAGGGTTTTCAATAAGAAATCCCACAAACATGCTCAAATGATTAAGCAGAAGCATCATAATCCATCAATAACATTTCAACATGAAATGATAAATGCGGAAGCAAAGACACGACAATCCAATGACCACCACTTGCTCGTCTCTCGCTGCCGCCGCCAACAAAGCTCAACCTAAAGATAGGAAGAGGAAACAAAAGGACAAAACAACAATGGGGGTGAGCAAAACCACTATGCTCACCAATATCGCATAAGTCTATCTCGCATAAAGATCCAAAATCATAAATAAAGTATGCATAGAATCCAGGTCTAACTCCCTAATCGGCCCTATCGCAAAACCTCCTATGTACATACAACAACCTTCCGATCAGATATCGACAAGGTGTTACCGGAAACCTTCCCACCCCAGCTCGACATGGGCTAAGGGATCCTTTCCGGGAGACAGTGGAGCCAAAAGGACCCCCCCCGAACATCACACGGATCAGGGCGTCAACCCCCCAAACTCACATACGGATCAGGTGACCTCTCAATGTTTTCGCATTCATCAAAGGCACTATAGGCGAGACGCCCTTGGCGGTGTAACACACTAGACTAGGGTTCTCAGGCATACTAAAGTCATCGAAATGAACATTTATACGAAATAACGATATGCAATAATTATGGATACACAAACTGTACCCACCTGGATATAGCAATAACACAAAAGGCGAGGCTCGGTAAGTGGAGAGGTCAACACCTCAAAGCACCTACACGAAAGCAAGATAGCCTCCCGATTACTAATAATCCAACGAACATATAGACTTAGTTGAAACGTTTCAACTAAGTGGCTCGTGGAAAATCTCGGGGAGTTATGGAACACTGACTCGACTCGGGACCAAGTATGGAAAAACAAATAACCGTTAAATAGTAGTTGACCAAGTCAAATAAACAGTCAAAGGTCAACTAAGGTCAAAAGGCTCGGAAAAAAGTCCGAAGGTCGGATTACGGACTTGGCTTGCGCGGTGCAGGGCGCTGTCGGCACTACTTAGGCCATCTCTCGGTTATCTCAAAATCCAACCAAGAGTTTGACTCGAAAACTTAAGCACATAACATTCAGCAACAATGTAACATATTATAAGCAAATTTACACAAAAATTCACACTTGGATTATATGAACGAATTTTTGAGAAATTAGGAGAAGTAGAACACTTTATCAAATAACTAGTCATTCTAGAAAATTTTTAAACCAAAAATTGAACACATGACATTACATGCTGAACTAAGAAAATTCACAAATTTTCAGTTTCAAAACATAAGTGTGCCATTTATAACAACTCAATGAAAATAATCAGCATTTATGGACACGAATTTAACCTCTGATCATATCAATGTTTCAAGACATCAAATTTTAATCATACATACTACATAATGATCACAGCAACATATAAAAATTCCAAGCTTAAAACATCAATATGTAATTTTTGAAAATTAAAACAACTTTCAGCTAAAGACCCGATTTTCACAAAAAACACAACTTATTGAATCTGAAATTTTATGATAATTTTACTGGATCAAATATCACATAAAATATAAACAATAACCAAGTTTTATGCATTTATAATAAAAACTCGATTTTATATGATTTATTGAATATTCTGCCGAAATGAACATATAATTATTTACCCTATTAATTCAACTCTAAAAATTATGAAGTTTATACACAGTCAATATATATCACAAGAGTAATATATGAAAAATTCAGAATTTTTGGATCACTACACAATTTATCATGCATTTAGCCATTTTCAGAAATGACACCGACTTCAAAAATTCATATCTCGAAAAATACAAGTCTAAATTGCACAAGGTCAAGACTATTGTGCTCAGGACACCAAGATATTCCATAATCCAAGAGTTAGTCACGAGATTCTATCAGACCTTAAAGGTTCACTACTAAACCTTATAGATCTAATACAACACAATTTAATAATTATCATATAATATCCTATAAAATAAAATAATTCAATAAATATATAATAATCAATAATTTAACATATAAACACAAAGAAATATTGGAGTTTAGCATAATATACCAAACACCAAAATGGGATGATGATACAAGGCGCGATCGTGGCTCGATTGGTCCGACGGGCGGGGAAATCGTCCACGTGTTCGGCGTTGAAGGTGGCTCGCACATCAAGTGACGATGACTCTGGGTGGCTTGTGAAAGGAACGTTGGACATTGAATGGAGGGAGCTTGAATGTGCGATGGTCACGGGGAGCAGCTCATTGGTATCGCGTATGTGCACGGGGCGTGCGGTGCGCGCGGGCGGTGCTGCCGATGGAGGCCGCACGGGCAATGCGAGGCGGTGCTCCGGTGATTATTTCCAGCGAAATATGAAGTAAGAGGGAGGGAGAAAATTCTGAATATTTGCAAGATAAGAGAGGGAGAGAAGATGGAGAAAATGTGTGGGGAGTGAGGGAGAGAAAGAGAGGGTGGTCTTCTCTCATTTAAAGCCATAAGTTGTAACTTCCTCAAGACTTGATCATGCCCATAATAAAGAATTAAAATAGAATTAAAATCTGATTTTTAAGTGAGGAATAGGTTACATCTTTCAAAATTAAAATGCCATGCACATGCATGCACAAGAGAGAAAAGAGGTGACGGGTCGGGTGGTTTCTCCGCATGCGGGCGCGGGCTGGGGGAGCGGGTGCACGGGCCGAGGATATGTGCATGGTTATGGGCCCGGTCCTTAGTGCATAAATTAAAATTTAAAAGTCCGACTCAGTTAGGTACTCGATTCAAAAATTAATTTAATTACTCGGCCCGATAAGAAAATATATTCGCTTAAGTACATATGAGCATATAATCACATAGAAATTAACTAATCGAGCTGAAATAATTAATAAATAAATAATAATCTCTAAATAATCTGAAATAAATGGGGCGTT